AGAAGAAATCTGCTCCTTTGAAGTCTGCGACAGGCGTGATTATCCAGGAGTGAGAACAGCATTGCTGCACCCAGCAGATGGAATGCTGGAGCTATACTACTCTGAGCTATATTCCAGAGAGAATGTAGTAACCAAAGAGGCATTAAATAACATTGAGTGCCTGCCTGTCTTGGAAGAGTTGGACAACGAACCAACTTTAGCAGAAATAAAAGTGGCATTGGATTCCCTCACCATCAGCAAGGTGTTTGGGAAGGATAACATCCCTGCTGAAGTGCTGTAAAGATATCATCACCACCGAACTGTATGAAGTCTTTCGTATTTGCAAGATGGAAGGTGGAATGCCACAGGACACGAAGGATGTAAACATTGTTTGATGGAGTTGAAGCAGTATGGGATAGGTAGTCAGAGAAATGTAAGATGGAGTCAGACAGGTTCTGTGTGAAGATGATTTGAGAGACACTGGAATGTGTTTTTCTAAGTGCTATGAGAGTGTTTTTCTGAAGACTGATACAGCATTGTTCGAGATGAAGCTGAAGGTTGGACAAGGACCCCGTGAAAGACTCAACATTCCGAGCTAATTGGAGAAGAGATAAAACACCTGGATTTTCATGGGAATTGAGAGAGGAGGAAGATTAGCCCCTTGAGGCTAATTGGTTAACAGCTATGAAGTGTCAAGAAAAAGGGAGAATTAGAGAATGTAGAAAATGGATCATGAGTTATGTGGAAGAAGTTCGGAAGTTCTATTCCATGATAATGGGAGAGAAAAAGAACTTGATGGCTTGGCTTGAAGGAGAAATAATGTAAGTGGGGAGAAAGAAAGAGGTGGGGCTAGCCCACCTTAGCCCAGTTTAGTAGTGTTTATTATTTTAATGGGGCTCTCCTCCCTCTGTTACCATCTCTACACCAGAATCGTTCATGACTTCATGTACCTTTGCTCAACAATCTCTGACAATCTCTCCCTAGATGTCAAGCTGCATGAATGCATATGCAAAGCAGCTACCATGTTCTCTAGACTCACAAAGAGAAGAAGCTGACGGCATAGACCAATGAGGCCCCAAACTAGCTATATTTAAGAGTCCTAACTAGAGTCCTGCCTGTGTTTGGGACCTTTTTTGCTGTCATGCTGAAGCACGCTTTTGCAACTGCAACACGCTTTTGCAACTGCAACAGAAAGTGTCTATCTCCGGACTAGATCAGATGGAAAGCTCTTTGATCTCTCTAGATTGAGAGCGAAGACCAAAGTCCAAATGAAATGCATGTGGGACTTCCTCTTTGCCGATGATGCAGCTGTTGTTGCCCATTCTGCTGAAGACCTCCAACAACTTACGAATCATTTTAGTAAGGCCTGCCAAGATTTTGGATTAACAATCAGCCTGAAGAAAACAGAAGTCATGCGCCAGGGCATGGACTCTCCTCCCTCTATTACCATCTCTACACCAGAATTGGAGGTCGTTCATGACTTTGTGTACCTTTGCTTGACAATCTCTGACACTCTCTCCCTAGATATCTGAGGCAAAGGCATTCTCAAAACCAGCAAAATCAGGGAGCTTGACAGGGGACAGATTGTATTTGTCTTCAGTGTCAAAGGGATTGTCACTCTCAAACTGGCCTTCTCAGCCACACTAGACACTGTTCCAAGACCTCTATTCAGAGCACATTAGCGTATGTGCATATGTAGGCATCCTTCTCAACACTGAGGATGCCTACATACATATGCTGTCATGAGTTCATTGGAAGAATGGTAGGATATAAATGTATGAAAGAAATAATAAGTTGATGCAATTTAAGTATTTCGATCAATTTTCATTGTCGTTTAGTCGTGTCCGACTCTTCGTGACCCCATGGACCAGACCACACCAGGCCCTCCTATCTTCCACAGCCTCCCGGAGTTGTGTCAAATTCATGTTGGTTGCTTCAATGACACTGTCCAACCATCTCATCCTCTGTCGTCCTCTTCTCCTCTTGCCTTCACACTTTCCCAACATCAAGGTCTTTTCCAAGGAGTCTTCTCTTCTCATGAGATGGCCA